AAATCCCAATTCCTGACCCAAAATCCGGATTTTTGACCCCAAAATTTCGTTTTCCTCACGGGTTTGCCGTTGGCCTCCAGCAGCAGCCGCTCAGCCTGGGGGCCTTGCTCAGCGGGTACGGCTCCGAGTGCCGGGTGGGGTACGGCGACTCCTCGTCCCCCCTGCGCCCCAAAAACGCCAAAATTCACCCCAAAATTTAGGGGATCCCAAATTCCCAAAAATTAACACAAAAATCCCGGTGAAACTCCCAAAAAATTCGGCTCAAAAAGGGCCAAAATCGCCCAAGAAATGCCCAAAATCCCGCCCCAAAAATTCCACTTCTTGAGGCTTCAAAACCGCACAAAATTCCCCAAAAGCGACGGAATCCAAAATCCCCAAAGTTGGCAGAAAATTCCCAAAAAAAAATCTCAAAAAAATCCCCCAAAAAATCCCAAAAATTTCAGTGAAATTCTGCTCAAAAAGGGCCAAAATAGCCCCAGAAATGCTCGAAATCCCACCCTAAAATTCCTCATTTTGGGGCTTCAAAAAACCCCAAAAATTCCCCAAAAATGACCCTAAAAATTGGGGAATCCCAAATTCCCAAAAATCCCAGAAAATTCCCCAAAAATTCCGGTGAAATTCCCAAAAAAATCAGCCCCAAAAGGACCAAAATCGCTCCAGAAACGCCCAAAATCCCACCCGAAAATTCCAATTTTTGGGGGGGGATTTGGGGGATCCAAAATCCCCCCAAAATCCCCCCAAATTTAGGAGATCCCAAATTCCCAAAAATCCCAAAAAATCCCCCCAAAATTCCCGAAAATTTCGGTGAAATTCTGCCCAAAAAGGGCCAAAAATTGGGGTCATTCTCAGGATAATTTTGGATCATTTTTGGTGTCAATTTTTGGGGAATTTTGGGGTAAATTTGGAGAATTTTTTGAGAATTTTTTTAGGTTTTTTTGGGAATTTCAGAGGGGAATTTTTGGGGGGGCCATTTGGGGTGAAATTTTGGGGGTTTTTGGGGTCACCAATTCCATTTTTGGGGTGATTTTTTTGAGTTTTTGGGGTATTTTTTGGGGTTTTTGGGATGGGTTTTTTTGGCTTTTCAGGGGTGCTGAGTCCATTTTTGGGGTGTTTATTTTGACTTTTGGGCCATTTTTTTGGGTTTCGGGGTGGTTTTTGGGGTTTTCAGGGCCACCGAGTCCATTTTTGGGGCTTTTTTTCCCATTTTTTGCCGTTTTTGAGGTGTTTTTTGGGGTTTTTGGGGCGTACCTGACGAAGGGGTCCCCGCGGGTGTTGGGCCCCACGACCTCCATGCTGCTGGTGAAGATCAGCACCGGCACCCCCGCGGCCTGGCAGGCCCTGATCACGTTCTTGGTGCCTGGAACGGCCCAAAAATATCCTGAATTTACCCCAAAAATAGCCCCAAAATACCCTGAAATTATCCTAAAAATATACTGAAAATACGCTGAAATTATCTTAAAATTGCCACAAGAATATCCCCAAAAATATCCCCAAAATTGCCCCAAAATATCCCGAAACTATCACAAAATTGCCACAAAATTATCCTGAAATTAACCCAAAAACACCCCCAGAATTATCCCAAAACTATCCCAAAAATACCCTGAAATTATCTTAAAATTGCCACGAAAATGTCCCCAAAATATCCTGAAATTATCCCAAAAATATCCCCAAAATTATCCTGAAATTAGCCGAAAAATATCCCCAAATTTTCCTGATGATATCTTGAAAATATCCTAAAATTACCCCAAAAATATCCTGAAATTACCCCCAAAATATCCCCAAATTATATCAAAAATATCCCCCCAAAAACCCCTAAAATTATCCCAAAATATCCTGAAAATATCCCCCAAAAATATCCCAAAAAATGTTCCGAAATTATCGCAAAATTATCCCAAAATTATCCTGAAATTAGCCCAAAAATATCCCTGAAAAAAGCCCCAAATTATCCCAAAATATCCTGAAAATATCCTCAAATTATCCCCAAAATTATCCCAAAATATCCTGAAATCCCCCCAAAAATCCCCCCAAAAAATCGCCCTAAACCCCTCTGGCCTGGCAAGCTCTGATCACGTTCCTGGTGCCTGAAACACCCCAAAATTACCCTGAAATCACCCCAAAAATACCCTGAATTTACCCCAAAAATAGCCCTGAAAAACCCAAAAAAATTCCCCCAAAATCCCAAAAATTCCGCCCAAAACCAGCCCCAAAACAGCCTGAAATTACCCCAAAATATCCCCAAAAATCCCTCAAAAAATCCCAAAAATTCCCCCCGAAAACAGCCCCAAAACAGCCCCAAAACAGCCTGAAATTACCCCAAAATATCCCCAAAAATCCCTCAAAAAATCCCAAAAATTCCCCCGAAAACAGCCCCAAAACAGCCCCAAAACAGCCTGAAATTACCCCAAAATATCCCCAAAAATCCCTCAAAAAATCCCAAAAATTCCCCCCGAAAACAGCCCCAAAACAGCCCCAAAACAGCCTGAAATTACCCCAAAATATCCCCAAAAATCCCTCAAAAAATCCCAAAAATTCCCCCCGAAAACAGCCCCAAAACAGCCCCAAAACAGCCTGAAATTACCCCAAAATATCCCCAAAAATCCTGAAATTGCCCCCAGTCCCTCCCAGTTTGTTCCCAGTATATCCCAGTTTACCCATTAACCTCTCCCAGTATAAACCAGTATAAACCGGTGTAAACCAGTACAAACCAGTACAAACCAGTATAAACCAGTACAAACCAGTACAAACCAGTACAAACCAGTACAAACCAGCACAAACCAATATACACCAGTATAAACCAGTACAAACCAGTACAAACCAGTACAAACCAGTATAAACCAGTATGCACCAATGGTTTCCTACAATCAGGCGCCATCTTGGGCGGCCATTTTGGGCGGCCATCTTGTGAGCTCCAGTATGGGCCGCCATTTTGAATAAATCCCTTAAACACAAAATGCACCAGTACAAACCAGCACAAACCAGTATAAACCAGTACAAACCAGTATACACCAGTATAAACCAGTACAAACCAGTATAAACCAGTACAAACCAGTACAAACCAGTACAAACCAGTATAAACAGTATGCACCAATGGTTTCCTACAATCAGGCGCCATCTTGGGCGGCCATTTTGGGCGGCCATCTTGTGAGCTCCAGTATGGGCCGCCATTTTGAATAAATCCCTTAAACACAAAATGCACCAGTACAAACCAGTACAAACCAGCACAAACCAGTATAAACCAGTTTACCCATTAACCCCTCCCAGTCCCTCCCAGTACAAACCAGTATAAACCAGTTTACCCAGTACGTTCACCCTGGCCATGTCCTGGGGGCTGCAGCGCCCCCACACGTCCACCAGGGCGGCGCTGTGGAAAACGACGTCGGCGCCGCCGAAAACGGAACCCAGAGCCCCGAAATCGGCGACGTCCCCGCGGAACAGCCGGACCCGGGAGCCTGGGGGGGGTGAAAAACCCAAAATTGGAAAAATTTAACCCAAAATTAATGAAATTTAACCCAAAATTTAAAAAAAAAAAAAAAAAAATTACCCAAGAATAAACACCCCAAAATGAACAAAAATCGACCCAAAAACGGAACCCAGAGGCCCAAAATCGTTGATGTCACCCCAGAACAGCCGGACCCGGGAGCCTGGGGGGGTGAAAAACCCAAAATTGGAAAAATTTAACCCAAAATTTACAAAAATTTAACCTAAAATTAACAGAATTTACACAAAGTTATCCCAAAAATCAGCCCAAGTTTACACAAAATCTTTCACCATAACTGCTCCAGAAGAGACGGACCTGAAAGTCTGGGGGGTAAAATTTACTAAATTTAACCCAAATTACCCCAAAATTTAAAATAATCACCCCAAAATTAACAAAATTAAACCCAAAATTTAAAAAAACACCAAAAACTTACCCAAAACCAACAAAAATCACCCCCAAATCAGCAAAATTTACACAAAATTACCCCAAAATTCACCTTGAATTTGGGGTGAATTTTTGGGCTGAATTTTGGAATTCCAGGGTGAAGTTTTGGGGTTGAATTTGGGAATTTTGAGGTGAACTTCTGGTATTTTGAGGTGGATTTTTGGGGTGAACTTGGAGGATTTTGGGGGAATTTTTGGGCTGAATTTTGAGGGGATTTTGGGGAATTTCAGGGGGAAATTTCGGGGTTAAATTCGGGAATACAGAGGCGATTTTTGGGGTGAATTTTTGGCATTTTGAGGTGGATTTTTCGAGTGAATTTGGGGGGTTTTGGGGTGGATTTTTGAGGTGAATTTGGGGCAAATTCGGGGCATTTCAGGGTGAATTTTTAGCGTTAAATTCGGGAATTTTGGGAGGATTTTTGAGGTGAATTTTTGCCATTTTGAGGTGGATTCTTTGGGGTGAATTTGGGGTCATTTTTGGGGTTAAATTCAGGAATTTTGGGGGGATTTTTGAGATGAATTTTTGCCATTTTGAGGCGGATTTTTGAGGTGAATTTGGGGTCATTTTTGGGGTTAAATTCAGGAATTTTGGGGGATTTTTGAGATGAATTTTTGCCATTTTGAGGCGGATTTTTGAGGTGAATTTGGGGTCATTTTTGGGGTTAAATTCAGGAATTTTGGGGGGATTTTTGGGGTGAATTTTTGGCATTTTGAGGTGGATTTTTTGGGTGAATTTGGGGGGTTTTGGGCTGAGTTTTTGGGGTGAATTTGGGGGTTTTTGGGGCTCACGGTGCCTCTCGGGGACCAGTTTGATGTCGGGGTCGAGGTCGAGGATTCGCAGCTCCCGAAGCTCCGGCTCCGCCTCCAGCAGCACCTGGGCCAGGTGGGAGCCCAGGAACCCCGAGCCCCCCGTCACCACCATCACCAGGGCCTGGAAATGGTCAAAATTCAACTGGGAATGGCCAAAAAGGCAAAAAACCCCGAAAAAATCCACCCAGGAATGGTGAAAATCACAAAAAACCCTGAAAAAATCCACCCAGGAACGGCGAAAATACCAAAAATCCAAAAAAAAGGCCAAAAATGCACCTGGGAATGGTCAAAATTAAACTGGGATTGAACTGGGAATACTGGGAATAAACTGGGAATGGCCAAAATACCAAAAAAAAACCCCAAAAAAATCCACCCAGGAATGGCCAAAATACCAAAAAAGAAACCCAAAAAACCCCCAAAAATTCCAAAACATGCAGATGGGAGTGGTCAAAATTAAACTGGGAATAGTCAAAATTGAACTGGGATTGAACTGGGATTGAACTGGGAATGGTGAAAATCCCAAAAAACCCCGAAAAAATCCACCCAGGAATGGCTAAAATACCAAAAACCCCAAAAAATCACCAAAAAATGCCCCCCCAAATTTTTTTAAAAATCCCCAAAATTCCCCCACCCCCGCCCCGCAAAAATCCCTCAAAAAATAAAATAAAAATTAAAAAATTGCCCCAAATTTTCACTTTAAAGTCCCAAAACCCCCTCAGAAAAATCCCCAAAAAATCCCAAAATTCCCCCAAAAATTTCACTTTAAATTCTCAAAAAATCCCCAAAAATCCCCAAATTCACTTTTTGAACCCAAAAGTTCCCCAAATTCCGCCCCAATTTCCCCTCCCCCACCCGGAAGTGGCTCCGAACTTTTCCCAAATCTCCCAAAATCGCCCAAAATCCCCAAAAATTCCCAAAAAATTCCCAAATTTCCCCTCCCCCCCCGTACCTGCGCCATTGCCCCGCTGCCGCCCCTCCCCCCACCGGATTTGGGGCGATTTCCCGGGAATTTGGGGAGGCCCCGCCCCCTTTGGGTGTGGGAGGGGGCGGGGCCAAAGCCGGAAGGGAGGAGCCAAAAAAATCGGGAATTTTTGGGGTGAAATTCGGGAATTTGGGGGTTTGAAAAAAATGGGAATTTTTAGGGGGAAAATTTGATGATTTTGAGGGAAAATTTGGGAATTTTGTGGGGAAATTGGGGGTGGGGAATGAAAAAATTGGGATTTTTCAGGAAATTACGGAATTTTGGTGAGAAAAATCGGATTTTGGGGGAGATTTGGGGGAGAATTGGGAATTTTTGAGGGAAAAAATTAAAATTTTGGGGACTATAAAGGAGAAGAGTTGGAAGTCCTCCAAGCGGGGCGGAGCGGCTCTCACCGGAAGTGGCTACAAAGGGGAAGCCAAAATGGCGGCGCGGACCGGAAGTTACCATAGAGACGCCGAGGGCTCGTTAAGCGCAACGGGAGCCGCCGCTCAAAACGGTGAAGGAGAAAAAAGAGGACCCAAAAAAGCCGCAAAAAGGAGAAATCGTGACGCAACCGTGACGTCAAACCGGATTTAAACGCAGCTTTGCGTTTAAATTCGCGTTTTTCGGGACTTTTCCCCCTTCGGGCCGGCTCCGGTTTTACCGCTCACTTCCGGTTGGTGTCGCTTCTATCCCCTTCCCCCCGCGCTCACTTCCGGCGTGGCCCGCGGTGAGTCCCAAACCCGGCCGGTTTTTCCCGTTTTTTCACGAATTTTCCCCATTTTTTTCTCTCCCCAGTGTCCACTCTGTGCCGGACGATGCCCCCGCCGGTCCGGCCGCGTCCGGCCGAGCGCGTCCGGCAGCGCTGGCGGCGCCTGCGGCGGGCGGCGCGGGCGCTGGTGCTGGAGAACGCGGCGCTGTGCGACGAGCTGGCGCGGCTCGAGGCCAAGTGGGCGCTGGCGCGGGGGCAGCGGCGATTCCTGCTCGGCCGCCTGCTCGGACACCGCGGCGGTCACTCCATGGTTCCGGCCACCGAGGTCACGGCGGAGGTCAAGCGGCCAAAGAGGGCGCGGCCGGGCGGGGGGAGGGGCCGCGGAGGGAGGGGCGGGGCCAGGGAGGAGCAGTGGTCAGCGGGGGAGAGGAGTGACCAGTGGTCAGCTGGGGAGAAGGGTGAGCAGTGGTCAGCGGGGGAGAGGAGTGACCAGTGGTCAGCAAACTCAAAGAGTGACCAATGGTCAGCAAGCTCGAAAAATGAGCAGTGGTCATCAAGCTCCAAGAGTGACCAGTGGTCAGCAGGATCGAAGAGTGACCAGTGGTCATCAAGCTCCAAAAATGAGCAGTGGTCAGCAGGATCGAAGAGTGACCAGTGGTCAGCAAGCTCCAAAAATGACCAGTGGTCAGCAGGATCGAAGAGTGACCAGTGGTCAGCAGGGCCCAAGGATGACCAGTGGTCAGTGGCCGTGAAGAAGGAGCAGTGGTCACCCGGATCGAAGAGTGACCAGTGGTCAGCAAGCTCAAAAAATGACCAGTGGTCATCAGGGTCGAAGAGTGACCAGTGGTCAGCAGGGTCGAAGAGTGACCAGTGGTCAGCTGGAGGAGGAGCTGGGATCAAGGACGAGCAGTGGTCAGTGGGGCCGAAGAGTGACCAGTGGTCAGCAGGGCCCAAGGATGACCAGTGGTCAGCGGAGGTCAAGCAGGAGCAGTGGTCACCAGACTCCAAGAGTGACCAGTGGTCAGCGGGGGTGAAGATCGAGCAGTGGTCACCCAGCTCCAAGAATGACCAGTGGTCAGCGGAGGTGAAGAGTGACCAGTGGTCAGCGGAGGTCAAGCAGGAGCAGTGGTCACCCGGCTCCAAGAGTGACCAGTGGTCAGCGGGGCCCAAGGATGACCAGTGGTCAGCGGAGGTGAAGATCGAGCAGTGGTCACCCGGCTCCAAGGATGACCAGTGGTCAGCGGAGGTTAAAAATGACCAGTGGTCAGTCGACTCCAAGAGTGACCAGTGGTCATCGTCAGGACCCAGGCCCGGCTCCAAGGATGACCAGTGGTCAAGCGGGCTCCGGCCGGGAGATGACCACAGGCCCGAGGGCGGCGCTGACCGCTCGGGGCGGCCGGAGGAGGAGGAGGAGGACGAGGATGACCACGAGGATGACCACGAGGATGACCACGAGGATGAGGATGAGGATGAGGAGGATGAGGAGGACGAAGGCCCCGCTCCGGCCTTTGGCTACTCCGGCCTCTTCCTGGGCAGCCCGGCCGGCTCGGACGAGTGACCACCAATAAATGACCGCTGGCCGGAGCGGCCGGAGGGCTTTGGTCAGTTTGTGGTGGAGTTTGGGTGTCATTGGGGGGGGGTTGGAGTGACCAAATGACCACTGGGATGACCACTGACCACCCCACTGACCATTGGTCATCTCTTGACCACTCCCACTGACCTCCTGACCATTCTGAGTGACCACCGACCGCCCTGAGTGACCACTGACCGCCCCAGTGACCCCTTGACCACCCTGAATGACCATTGACCATTGTGAGTGACCACTGACCGCCCTGAGTGACCACTGACCGCCCCCACTGACCCCTTGACCACCCTGAATGACCATTGACCATTGTGAGTGACCACCGACCGCCCTGAGTGACCACTGACCGCCCCACTGACCCCTTAACCACCCTGAATGACCACTGACCATTGTGAGTGACCACCGACCGCCCTGAGTGACCACTGACCGCCCCAGTGACCCCTTAACCACCCTGAATGACCATTGACCATTGTGAGTGACCACTGACCGCCCTGAGTGACCACTGACCGCCCCACTGACCCCTTAACCACCCTGAATGACCATTGTCCATTGTGAGTGACCACTGACCACCATGAGTGACCACTGACCACTGCAATGACTACTTGACCACCCCAATGACCACTGACCATCCCACTGACCCCTTGACCACCCTGAGTGACCACTGACCACTCCCAATGACCAATTGACCCCTTGACCACCCAGAATGACCACTCCAAATGACCACTGACCACATCTCACACCTTTATTGACCACTGTCCATTGTGGCCGGAGCTGTGGCCGGAGCCGAGTGACCGCCGGGAGTGACCGCCGGGACGTCCTGGACGTTGTGGACGATCTGGACGATGTCCGGCCACTTGGCCAGAGTGCAGAGTGACCACTGACCACCCCAAGAACCCCTTGACCATCCCAATGACCACTGACCATCCCACTGACCATCGGTCACTTCTTGACCACTCTCAATGACCCCTCGACCACCCTGAGTGACCACGGACCACTCCAAGGACCCACTGACCATCCCAATGACCACTCCAAATGACCACTGACCATTTGACCGCACCTTTATTGACGTTCCTCTGTCGTGGCCGGAGCCGTGTCCGGAGCCGAGTGACCGCCGGGAGCGACCACGGCTCCTCCCGGAGTGACCGCCGGGACGTCCTGGACGTTGTGGACGATGGCGTGGACGTCCGGCCGCTCGGCCAGGGCGCGCAGCAGCCGCTCGGCCGCGGCCCTCGGACCGTCCGGCAGGGCCAGCGCTGACCGCGGCCGGAACTCGACCGCGGCCGCCAGCGGCCGGAGCCCTGCGGCCGCCAGGCCCCGCCGGACACCGCCCAGGGCCGAGGGCGCGCACAGGAACTGCGGACGGGGCAAAGGGCAAAGGTCAGCGGTCACTCGGGGGGGTCAGCGGTCATTCAGAGTGGTCAGCGGTCAATGATCATTCAAGATGGTCAGTGTTCATCAGGAGAGGTCAAGGGGTCAGTGGGAGTGGTCAGCGGTCACTCAGGGGGGTCAGCGGTCACTTAGGGTGGTCAAGGGGTCAGTGGGAGTGGTCAAGGAGTGACCAATGGTCAGTGGGAGTGGTCATCATGAGTGGTCAGCGGGAGTCATCAAGAGGTCATTCAGGGTGGTCAGTGGTCATTCAAGGTGGTCAGTGGTCAGTGGGAGTGGTCAAGGGTCACTCAGGGGGGTCAGCGGTCACTCGGGGGGGTCAAGGGGTCAGTGGGGTGGTCAGTGGTCACTCAGAGTGGTCAGCGGTCAATGATCATTAAAGATGGTCAGTGGTCATCAGGAGTGGTCAAGGGGTCAGTGGGAGTGGTCAAGGAGTGACCAGTGGTCAGTGGTCATTGGGGTGGTCCTTGGGAGTGGTCAAGGGGTCAGTGGTCATCAGGAGTGGCCATTCTGGGTGGTCAAGGGGTCATCAGGGGGAGTCAAGGGGTCATTGGGAGTGGTCAAGGGGTCAGTGGGTGTGGTCAGTGAGTGGTCAAGGGGTCAGTGGGAGTGGTCAGTGGTCATTCAGGGGGGTCCGTGGTCATTCGGGTGGGCAAGAAGTGACCAAGGGTCAGTGGGGGTGGTCAGTGGTCATTCAGGGTGGTCAGTTGGTCATTGGGGTGGTCAGTGGTCATTCAGGGTGGTCAAGGGGTCATTGGGGTGGTCAGTGAGGGGTCAAGGGGTCATTGGGGTGGTCAGTGGTCATTCAGGGTGGTCAGTGGTCATTGGCTGGTCAAGGGGTCAATGGGTGTGGTCAGTGAGTGGTCAAGGGGTCAGCGAGGGGGTCAAGGGGTCAGAGGAGTGGCCAGTGGTCATTCAAGGTGGTCAGTGGGAGTGGTCAAGGGGTCATTCAAGGTGGTCAAGGGGTCAGTGGGGGGGTCAAGGGGTCAGTTGGGTGGTCAGTGGTCATCAGGAGTGGTCAAGGGGTCAATGGAAAGGTCAAGGGGCCAGTGGGAGTGGTCAGTGAGGGGTCAAGTGGTCAGTGAGGGGTCAAAGGGTCATTCAGGGTGGTCAGTGGTCACTGTCCACTCTCAGAAGCGACCAATGACCACCAGGGGGACACTCAAGCAGTGACCAGAGTGACCACCGAGTGACCACCGAGTGACCGCAGCTGTGGTCATCCACAGAGTGACCACCGAGTGACCGCAGAGTGACCACTGCACTGGTCATCCACCCACCTGGAGCTCGGCCCCGTCCTGGGTCACGTCCTGGGCTCCGGCCGCTGCGGCCACGTCCAGCGCGGCCTCCAGGCCCAGCGTCCGGCCGGACACTCGGACCACGCCCACGGCCTGGAACGCGGGGTGGACGTCGGGGGTCAGCGCGGCCCTGAGTGACCAAATGGACAGCGGTCAGTGAGATGGACATCAGGGGTCACTGAGTGACCAAATGGACAGCGGTCAGTGAGATGGACATCAGGGGTCACTGAGTGACCAAATGGACAGCGGTCAGTGAGATGGACATCAGGGGTCACTGAGTGACCAAATGGACAGCGGTCAGTGAGATGGACATCAGGGGTCACTGAGTGACCCAATGGACAGCGGTCAGTGAGATGGACATCAGGGGTCACTGAGTGACCAAATGGACAGCGGTCAGTGAGATGGACATCAGGGGTCACTGAGTGACCAAATGGACAGCGGTCAGTGAGATGGACATCAGGGGTCACTGAGTGACCAAATGGACAGCGGTCAGTGAGAGGGACATCAGGGGTCACTGAGTGACCAAATGGACAGCGGTCAGTGAGACGGACATCAGGGGTCACTGAGTGACCAAATGGACAGCGGTCAGTGAGATGGACATCAGGGGTCACTGAGTGACCAAATGGACAGCGGTCAGTGAGATGGACATCAGGGGTCACTGAGTGACCAAATGGACAGCGGTCAGTGAGATGGACATCAGGGGTCACTGAGTGACCAAATGGACAGCGGTCAGTGAGATGGACATCAGGGGTCACTGAGTGACCAAATGGACAGCGGTCAGTGAGATGGACATCAGGGGTCATTCAATGGTCACTGAGTGACCAGATGCACAGTGGTCAGTGAGGGGTCATTCAATGGTCATTTAATGGTCACCAACCCGCCCTGAGTGACCAGAGATGGACAGTGGTCAGTGCGATGGACATCAGGGGTCAGTGATGGTCACTGAGTGACCAGAGATGGACAGTGGTCAGTGATGGACATCAGAGGTCAGTGTGGTCATTCAATGGTCAATTAGTGGTCACCAACCCACCCTGAGTGACCAAATGGACAGTGGTCAGTGAGAGGTCATTCAATGGTCATCCAGCGGCCATCCACCCCCCCCAAACTGACCAGTGGTCACTCGGTGGTCACTCGCACTGACCCGTGGCGTTGCAGCAGTGTCCGCAGCTCGGCCTGGCTCCGCCGGACGTTGTCGGTCCGGACGTCCAGCAGCGCCAGTGACCCCCCCGGGCCCCGAGCGGTCAGCAGCAGCGGCACCGCCCCGGCCGGACGCTCCTGTGGCCGGAGAGAGGGGCAGGGGTCACTCAGTGGTCACTCAGCGGTCACTCAGTGGTCAGTCAATGGTCAGTGGTCACTCAGGGGTCACTCAGGGATGGTCAGTGGTCACTCGGGGGTCACTCGGGGGTCACTCAGGGATGGCCAGTGGTCACTCGGGGGTCACTCGGGGGTCACTCAGCGGTCACTCAGGGGTCACTCAGGGATGGTCAGTGGTCACTCAGGGGTCACTCAGGGATGGTCAGTGGTCACTCGGGGGTCACTCGGGGGTCACTCAGCGGTCACTCAGGGGTCACTCAGGGATGGTCAGTGGTCACTCAGGGGTCACTCAGTGGTCACTCAGGGATGGTCAGTGGTCACTCAGGGGTCACTCAGGGATGGTCAGTGGTCACTCGGGGGTCACTAAGGGATGGTCAGTGGTCACTCGGGGGTCACTCGGGGGTCACTCATTGGTCACTCAGGGATGGTCACTCAGCGGTCACTCACCCTGACTGACCGCAGCGCCCCCTCGATGGTGGCCTTGGGCACGTTCAGTGTCCGGCACTGCGCCACCACGGCCGCCAGCCCCGGGTTCAGCGCCGGATCCGCGCCGCCCTCTGTCGGGACACGTCGCGATATGTCGCGATAGCCCAATGTCCCCATAGCCCCATATCGCGATATACCACGATATACTGCGATATATCGCGATATATCGTGATACTGCCACGGCCCAACATCCCGATATCGTGATATATCGCAATAGACCAGTGTCCCCATAGCCCCATATCGCGATATCCTGACAGCCCAGTGTCACAACATCGCGATATCCCAGTGTCCCAATATCGCGACAGCCCAGTGTCCCAACGGCCCCATATTGTGATATCCCGACAGCCCAATGTCCCCATATCGCGATAGCCCGGTGTCCCCATATCCCAATATCCCAATATCGCGATACCCCAGTGTCCCACCACCCCCTTCTCCCCTTCTATCGCGACATCCTAATGTCCCGATATCACAATATCGCGATGTCCCAGTGTCTCATCAGCCCCTCCTCCTCCTCTATGGCGACACCCCCTGCTCCCCTCCCACCCCTTCCTCCCCCTGTCCCCCCCACCCCCCATATCGCGATACCCCCCCCTCTATTACGACATCCCCATGCACCCCCACCCCCTCCTCCCCCTCTATCGCGACACCCCCGTGTCCCACTCACCCCCCCCCCGCCCCCCCCCTATCGCGACACTCTGTCGCCACCTCTGGCCGCCGCCCGCAGCATCCGCGCCATTTTCTCCAGCAGGCGGCTCCGCTCCGCGTCCCGCGGCCCCTTCACGTTGCGCACCTTGGACCAGCGGTTGTGCCCGGCCATGGCCCGCACCGGCACCGGGACCGGCACCGGGACCGCCCCGGAGCTCCCCGGGACCCGGCACGGGCCGAGGCAGCCCCGCAGAGGGGCCCGGAGCGGCGGGAGCAGCCCCGGGACCCGCAGCACGGGAGCCGCCATTTTGTGGCGGCACTTCCGGCTTCTTCCTCCCCTCACGGCGCTTCTGCTTCCGGTGCGGCGCAGGGAAATGTGGGTAATGGAGTGATTTGAATAGCCACGCCCTCACTTGGGAATCTTGTATTGGTTGTAATCGGGCTGATTTGAATAGCCACGCCCATGTTCAAAAGCGATGTATGGTATAAATGGAGAGTATTTGCATAACCACGCCTCCCTTTAGAAGCGATAGATTGGTGTTGAAGGGGATGATTTGCATAGCCACGCCTTCCTTTAGAAATGCTACATTGGTGTTAAAGGACCTGATTTGCATAACCACGCCTCCTTCTAGAAACTATAGTTGGGTGGTAAAGAATATTATTTGCATAGCCACGCCTCCCTTTAGAATTGGTACACTAGCGTGCCAATATCTAATTTGCATAGTCACGCCTCCTTTAAGAACTAGGTATGGGTGTTAATGGCGATGATTTGCATAGCCACGCCTCCCTCCAGAAACCGTACATTGGTGTTATGGGGGATGATTTGCATAGCCACGCCTTCCCTTAAAAGTACGCGCCGGTGTTAATTGTGCTTATTTGCATAGCCACGCCCCCCCCCCCCAAAGGACGGGAATGGATGGACAGATGGACACGGGGAACAGATGGACCGATGGACGCGGAGGACGGACGGACGGACGGACAGACGGACACGGGGGTGGTCAGCTGGGACGGACAGACGGACACAGGGGGCGGACGGGTGTGATGGACAGACGGACGGACAGAGGGATGGGCAAACAGACGCGGGGAATGGACGGACGGACAGATGGACGCGGGGAATGGACGGACGGTCGGCATGGACGGACGGACGGACGGACGGACAGAGCCCCCATCCCCCCACCCTTCTCACCCCTCCCCCCCCCCCCCCCGCGGGAAGCGGCTCCTTCCTCCTTTCCCACGCGCCTGTGACGTCATCGCCGCCCGGGGGGGGGGGGGGGGGGCGGGGTCACGCGGGGACAGACGGACGGACGGACCGACCCCGCCCCTCCCCCCACTTTGGACGGACCCCGCCCCTCCCCCCACTTTTTTTGCCCTTTTTTGGCGCCGTTTTGGGCCCCAAAATTTCCTCACACCCCCCCCCCCCCCCCGCCGCCCCTCCCCCCCACCCACCCCTTCCTGCCCCTCCCCCCACCCACCCCAGTTCCGCTTTTTGGGGTTTTTTGGGGTTTTTGGAGATTTTTCGGGGTGCCCGGAGGAGCCGCGATGGGACCGGGGCAGCTCCTGGCGCTGCTGGGGACAGGTGGGGACGGACGGACGGACGGACGGACGGACATTGGGGACACACCTGGGGACAGACGGACATTGGGGACAGGTGGGGACGGACGGGCGGACGGACAGACGGACATTGGGGACACACCTGGGGACAGACGGACACCCGGGGTATTGGGGACAGACGGACACTGGGGTGGACAGACGGACGGACACTCGGACATTGGGGACGTTGGGGACAGGTGGGGGGACGGACAGATGGACGGACACCTGGGGGACGGACAGACAGACGGACATTGGGGATGCTGGGGACAGACGGACAAATGGACATTGGGGTGGACAGACGGACAGACGGACGTTGGGGACATTGGGGATTGGAGACACCTGGACAGGTGGGGACACCTGAGGGACAGACGGACGGGTGGTCATTCAGGTGGACAGATGGACGTTGGGGTGGACAGATGGACACTGGGGTCACACTGGCGTCATTGGGGGACATTGGGGTGGACAGATGGACACTGGGGTCACACTTGGGGCCATTGGGGTCACGCCTGGGGTCATGGGGGGACAGATGGACAGATGGACACTGGGGTCACACTTGGGGTCATCGGGGGACAGATGGACAGATGGACACTGGGGTCACACTTGGGGCCATTGGGGTCACGCCTGGGGTCATGGGGGGACAGATGGACAGATGGACACTGGGGGTTGGGGTCACACCTGGGGCCATCGAGCCCCCCCCCCCCCCGGTGTGTCCCCACCCCTCGATGACGTCACTGACCCCGCCCCTCGATGACGTCACTGTCCCCTCCCCCAGCGGCCCTGGCGGGGGCGGGGCTGGACCTGGAGACCCCCGCGGTTTTCTGGGGGGACCCCGGGGGCGGCTTCGGAGCCAGCGTGGCCCAGATGGGGAGCGGGAACGCAGGATGGTAAAATGGGAACCCCAAAATCCCCCCAATTCACCCCAAAATATCCCCTAAAATTACCCCAAAATATCCCAGAAATATCCCCTAAAATACCCCCAAAAATCCCTAAAATCCCCCCCAAAATCCCCTGAATTCACCCCAAAATACCCCTGAAATATCCCAAAAATATTCCCTAAAATATCCCTGAAATCCCCCAAATTCACCCCAAAAATATCCCTGAAATATCCCCTAAGATACCCCAAAAATACCCCAAAAATATCCCCTAAAATATCCCTGAAATCCCCCCAAAAATCCCCCCAAAATCCCCCCACCAGCGTGGCCCAGATGGGGATCGGCAAAGCAGGATGGTAACGCCAAAATCCCCCAAATTCACCCCAAAATTCACCCCGAAATGTCCTCTAAAATCACCCCAAAATTCCCTAAAAATCCCCCGAAAAAATCCCTAGATCCCCCCAAAAATCCCCCCCAAAATCCCCTGAATTCACCCCAAAATATCCCTGAAATGTCCCTGAAAATATCCCCTAAAATATCCCTAAAATCCCCACAAAAATCCCCCCAAAATCCCCCAAATTCACCCCAAAATATCCCTGAAATATCCCCAAAAAATCCCCCCAAAATCTCCTGAATTCACCCCAAAAATATCCCCTAAAATCACCCCAAAATTCACCCCCAAAATATCCCTGAAAATATCCCCTAAAATATCCCTGAAATTCCCCCCCCAAAAATCCCTAAATTCCCCCCAAAAATCCCCCCCAAAATCCCCTAAATTCACCCCAAAATATCCCTGAAATATCCCTGAAAATATCCCCTAAAATATCCCTGAAATCCCCCCAAAAATCACCCCAAAATATCCCAAAAATATCCCTGAAATCCCCCCAAAATCCCCCCAAAAATCCTCCCAAAATCCCCTAAATTCACCCCAAAATATCCCTGAAATATCCCTGAAAATATCCCCTAAAATATCCCTGAAATTCCCCCAAAAATCACCCCAAAATATCCCAAAAATATCCCTGAAATCCCCCCAAAATCCCCCCAAAAATCCTCCCAAAATCCCCTAAATTCACCCCAAAATATCCCTGAAATATCCCTGAAAATATCCCCTAAAATATCCCTGAAATTCCCCAAAAATCACCCCAAAATATCCCAAAAATATCCCTGAAGTCCCCCCAAAACCCCCCAAAAATCCCCCCAAAATCCCCTAAATTCACCCCAAAATATCCCTGAAATATCCCTGAAAATATCCCCTAAAATATCCCTGAAATTCCCCCCAAAATCACCCCAAAATATCCCAAAAATATCCCGGAAATCCCCCAAAATCCCCCCAAAATCCCCCCAAAATCCCCTAAATTCACCCCAAAATATCCCTGAAAATATCCCCTAAAATATCCCTGAAATTCCCCCAAAAATCACCCCAAAATATCCCAAAAATATCCCTGAAATCCCCCCAAAATCCCCCCAAAAATCCCCCCCAAAATCCCCTAAATTCACCCCAAAATATCCCTGAAATATCCCTGAAAATATCCCCTAAAATATCCCTGAAATTCCCCCAAAATCCACCCCAAAATATCCCAAAAATATCCCTGAAATCCCCCCAAAATCCCCCCAAAAATCCCCCCCAAAATCCCCTAAATTCACCCCAAAATATCCCTGAAATATCCCCTAAAAATATCCCAAAAATATCCCCCAAAATCCCCCCCAAAATGACCCCAGAAATATCCCTAATATCCCCCCAAATTCACTCCAAAACATCCCTAAAATTCACCCCCAAATCCCCCCAAAATCCCCCAAATTTCCCCAATTTTTCCCCCAAATTTTCCCCATTTTTTCCCCTAAAATCCCCCAAATTTCCCCAATTTTCCCCCCAAAATTTCCCCCATTTTTCCCCCAAATTTTCCCCATTTTTTCCCCCAAAATCCCCCAAATTTCCCCAATTTTTCCCCCAAATTTTCCCCATTTTTTCCCCCAAAATCCCCCAAATTTCCCCAATTTTCCCCCCAAATTTTCCCCCATTTTTCCCCCAAATTTCCCCCATTTTTCCCCCAAATTTTCCCCATTTTTCCCCGAAATTTCCCCAATTTTCCCAAAATTCCCCAATTTCACCCCAAAGGCTCCTGGTGGGAGCCCCCCACGACGGCGGCGGCTCCGGGGCCGTGTTCGGCTGCAGATTCGGCTCCGAAAATTGCCAGAAAATTCAAATCTCAGGTGAGACCCCTCCCCAAATTGGGGCCTGAGACCCCTCCCCAAATTGGGAACCCTGAGACCCCTCCCCAAATTGGGCCCTGAGACCCCTCCCCAAATTGGGAACCACAGGTGAGACCCCTCCCCAAATTGGGGCCTGAGACCCCTCCCCAAATTGGGACCTGAGACCCCTCCCCAAATTGGGAACCACAGGTGAGACCCCTCCCCAAATTGGGCCCTGAGACCCCTCCCCAAATTGGGGCCTGAGACCCCTCCCCAAATTGGGGACCCTGAGACCCCTCCCCAAATTGGGAACCACAGGTGAGACCCCTCCCCAAATTGGGATCTGAGACCCCTCCCCAAATTGGGGCCCTGAGACCCCTCCCCAAATTGGGGACCCTGAGACCCCTCCCCAAATTGGGCACCCTGAGACCCCTCCCCAAATTGGGGCCTGAGATCCCTCCCCAAATTGGGGACCCTGAGACCCCTCCCCAAATTGGGGCCTGAGACCCCTCCCCAAATTGGGGACCCTGAGACCCCTCCCCAAATTGGGACCTGAGACCCCTCCTCAAATTGGGGCCCTGAGACCCCTCCCCAAATTGGGATCTGAGACCCCTCCCCAAATTGGGAACCACAGGTGAGACCCCTCCCCAAATTGGGGACCCTGAGACCCCTCCCCAAATTGGGAACCCTGAGACCCCTCCCCAAATTGGGAACCACAGGTGAGACCCCTCCCCCCCCATCCCAAATTTCGAGGACCCCTCCCCAATTTCAGCCCCCCCCAAATTTTGGGGGGGGGGGTCTCACCTGTGCCCCTCCCCCCCCCAGGACCCTCCGGCTCCGGGAATTCCTCGCTGGGGCTGGCGCTGGCGGCCGGGGACGACGCGGCGCTGGTGAGACCCAAAATCGGGGGGTTTCACCCCAAAATCGGGTTTACCCCAAAATCGGGGGGTTTCACCCCAAAATCGGGGGGTTCACCCCAAAATCGGGTTTACCCCAAAATCGGGGGGGTTCACCCCAAAATCGGGGGGTTCACCCCAAAATCGGGGGGGTTCACCCCAAAATCGGGTTTACCCCAAAATCGGGGGGTTTCACCCCAAAATCGGGTTTACCCCAAAATCGGGGGGTTCACCCCAAAATCGGGGGGGTTCACCCCAAAATCGCGGGGTTTACCCCAAAATCGGGGGGTTCACCCCAAAATCGGGGGGTTTCACCCCAAAATCGGGGGGGTTCACCCCAAAATCGGGGGGTTCACCCCAAAATCAGGGGGTTTACCCCAAAATCAGGGGTTTCACCCCAAAATCGGGGGGGTTCACCCCAAAATCGGGGGGGTTCACCCCAAAATTCGGGAGTTTTACCCCAAAATTCAGGATTTGAGTGAGGTTTTACCCCAAAATTTCCGAGTTTTGCCCCAAAATTTCCGAGTTTTACCCCAAAATTTGGGATTTGATTGAGGTTTTACCCCAAAATTCGGGATTGTTACCCCAAAATCTGGGGGGTTTTACCCCAAAATTTGGGATTTTTAGGAAGTTCCACCACAAAATCTGGGGGTTTTACCCCAAAATTCGGGATTGTTACCCCAAAATCTGGGGGGTTTTACCCCCCAAAATTTGGGATTTTTAAGAAGTTCCACCAAAAAATTTGGAGTTTTTACCCCAAAACTTGGGATTTTTTACCCCAAAATTTGGGATTTTAGGACTTTTTACCTCAAAATTTGCAGGTTTTAGGTGGTTTTGCCCCAAAACTCGTGGTTTTCTATGAGGCAGAACTCCAAAATTTTGGTTTTTGGAGGTTTCACACCGAAATCGAGGTTCTTGCGATGTAGAGCCCCGAAAACTGGATTTTTTTTTGGCGGTTTCACCCAAAATTTTCTATTTTGAGGGACATCCAGAAGGTAGAACCCCAAAAAATTGATTTTTTTTTTTGACACCTTACCCAAAAATTTTGGGGGTTTTTGAAGAACCTCACGGAGGTGGAACCCCGAAATTTGTCTTTTTGGGAGTTTTTACCCAAAATTTGTATTTTCTGAAGAACCTCACGGTGGTGGAACCCCAGAATTCCACCCCGGGGGGGTTTTTAACCAAAACCGGCGTTTCTGAGGTGAATTTGCGTCCCAGGTGTGCGGCCCCACCTCGGCCCAGGTGTGCGGGGTCAACGTCCACCTCGGCGGCCTCTGCGTCCGGCTGGACACGCGGCTGCGGCCGGGCCCGAGGCTGCCGGCCGCGCCCCCAGGTACCGAGTGACCACCCAGGGGTCAGCCGGGGTCAGGGACACTGACCATTGTCCACCCAGGGGTCAGCCGGGGTCAGCCGGGGTCAGCCGGGGTCAGGGACACTGACCATTGTCCACCCAGGGGTCAGCCGGGGTCAGGGACACTGACCATTGTCCACCCAGGGGTCAGCCGGGGTCAGGGACACTGACCATTGTCCACCCAGGGGTCAGCTGGGGTCAGGGACACTGACCATTGTCCACCCAGGGGTCAGCCGGGGTCAGGGACACTGACCATTGTCCACCCAGGGGTCAGCTGGGGTCAGGGACACTGACCATTGTCCACCCAGGGGTCAGCCGGGGTCAGCCGGGGTCAGGGACACTGACCATTGTCCACCCAGGGGTCAGCTGGGGTCAGCCGGGGTCAGCCGGGGTCAGCCGGGGTTAGGGACACTGACCATTGTCCACCCAGGGGTCAGCCGGGGTCAGCTGGGGTCAGCCGGGGTCAGCCGGGGTCAGCCGGGGTCAGCCGGGGTCAGGGACACTGACCGCCGGCCACCCAGGGGTCAGCCGGGGTCAGGGACACTGACCATTGTCCACCCAGGGGTCAGCCGGGGTCAGGGACACTGACCATTGTCCACCCAGGGGTCAGCCGGGGTCAGGGACACTGACCGCCGGCCACTCAGGGGTCAGCTGGGGTCAGCTGGGGTCAGCTGGGGTCAGGGACACTGACCGCCGGCCACCCAGGGGTCAGCTGGGGTCAGCTGGGGTCAGCTGGGGTCAGCCGGGGTCAGGGACACTGACCATTGTCCACCCAGGGGTCAGCCGGGGTCAGCCGGGGTCAGCCGGGGTCAGGGACACTGACCGCTGCCCACCCAGGGGTCATCTGGGGTCATTCCTCTCCACGGACACTGACCACTGACCACTGCCCACCCAGTGGTCATCTGGGGTCATTCCTCTCCACGGACACTGACCACTGCCCACCCAGTGGTCATCTGGGGTCATTCCTCTCCACGGACACTGACCACTGACCACTGCCCACCCAGTGGCCATCACGGTTCTTTAGCAAGACTTTGAGAATGTGGAACCCCAAAACTTTGGGGTTTTTTTGAGATTTCACCCCAAATTTCGGTCCCTCCCGCCCGCGGTCGGTGGTGGTCAGCGGTCGGTGGTGGTCAGCGGCGGTCACTCCGTGTCCGCAGAGTGTCCCAAGCCCTCGATGGACATCGCCTTCCTGATGGACGGCTCGGGCAGCATCGACAGCGACGACTTCCAGAGGATGAAGGCGTTCATCGGGGAGGTGATGCGGCGCTTCCGGGGCGCCGACGCCCAGGTAACGCACCTGGGCACAGGTGATCTCACCTGGGGGCACCTGGGGGCACCTGGGATACACCTGGGATACACCTGGGCACAGGTGATCTCACCTGGGGGCACCTGGGGGCACCTGGGATACACCTGGATACACCTGGGATACACCTGGATACACCTGGGCACACCTGGGCACACCTGGGATACACCTGGATACACCTGGGATACACCTGGATACACCTGGATACACCTGGGCACACCAGGGGGCACCTGAGATACACCTGAGATTCACCTGGGCGCACCTGGGCACACCTGGGATACACCTGGGCACACCTGAGATACACCTGGGATACACCTGAGATACACCCGGGCACACCTGGGCACACCTGGGATACACCTGGATACACCTGGGATACACCTGGGCACACCTGAGATACACCTGAGATACACCTGGGCACACCTGGGCACACCTGGGATACACCTGGGATACACCTGGGCACACCTGGGATACACCTGGGATACACCTGGGACACACCTGGGCACACCTGGGCACACCTGGGCACACCTGGGATACACCTGGGATACACCTGGGCACACCTGAGATACACCTGAGATACACCTGGGCACACCTGGGCACACCTGGGATACACCTGGGCACACCTGGGATACACCTGGGATACACCTGGGATACACCTGGGGCACACCTGGGCACACCTGGGGGCACCTGGGACACAGCTGGGCACACCTGGGACAGGTAATGCTCACCTGGGCAGGTGACCACACCTGGGATGGGCGGTGACCACCCAATGGCCATTGGTCATCATTGGCATTGGGCATTGACCACCCAATGGCCATTGGTCATCATTGGTCATTCATCCCCATGGACATTGGGCATTGACCACCCATTGACCATTGGTCATCATTGGCATTGGGCATTGACCACCCATTGACCATTGGTCATCTTGGGTCACTCATCTCCATGACCACTGACCACTGACCACTGCCCGTGCTCATCCAACGATGACCGCTGGTGGCCGGGGGATGTCCGGAGTGACCGCTGGCGTGGTCACTCGCTGTCCGTCTGTCCAGTTCTCCCTCACGCAGTTCTCGGATGCGATCAAAGGGCAGAGTGACCGCTGGGGTGGTCACTCGCTGTCCGTCTGTCCAGTTCTCCCTCACGCAGTTCTCGGATGAGGTCAAAGGGCAGAGTGACCGCTGGGGTGGTCACTCGCTGTCCGTCTGTCCAGTTCTCCCTCACGCAGTTCTCGGATGAGGTCAAAGGGCGGAGTGACCGCTGGGGTGGTCACTCGCTGTCCGTCTGTCCAGTTCTCCCTCACGCAGTTCTCCCACGAGGTTGAAGGGCAGAGTGACCGCTGGGGTGGTCACTCGCTGTCCGTCTGTCCAGTTCTCCCTCACGCAGTTCTCCCACGAGGTTCAAGACCACTTTGACTTCAGGGAGTTCCGGAAGGTTCCGGACCCCTGGCGGCTCCTGGACAGCGTCCGGCAACTGTCCAGCACCACCCGCACGGCCACGGGCATCCGGCACGTCCTGTGAGTGACCGCTGACCGCTGACCGCTGACCGCTGACCACTGACCGCTGACCCCGCTGACCGCTGACCGCTGACCCCACTGACCGCTGACTGCTGACCCCGCTGACTGCTGACCACTGACCACTGAGCATTGACCCCGCTGACCATTGATTGACCACTGACCCACTGACTGCTGACCCCGCTGACTGCTGACCACTGACCGCTGACCGCTGACGCCACTGACCGCTGACCCCACTGACTGCTGACCACTGACCACTGACCGCTGACCCCACTGACCGCTGACCGCTGACCCCACTGACCGCTGACCCCACTGACTGCTGACCACTGACCGCTGACCGCTGACGCCACTGACCACTGACCGCTGACCCCACTGACCACTGACCCCACTGACCGCTGACTGCTGAGCACTGACCCCACTGACCGCTGAGCATTGACCCCACTGACCGCTGACTGCTGACCCCACTGACCACTGACCACTGACTGCTGACCCCACTGACTGCTGACCCCACTGACCACTGACCGCTGACTGCTGAGCACTGACCCCACTGACCGCTGAGCATTGACCCTGCTGACCGCTGACCCCACTGACCACTGACCGCTGACTGCTGACCCCACTGACCGCTGACTGCTGACCCCACTGACCGCTGACGCCACTGACCACTGACCACTGACTGCTGACCCCACTGACCACTGACTGCTGACCACTGACCGCTGACCCCACTGACCGCTGACCACTGAGCATTGACCCCGCTGACCACTGACCCCAGCCATGTCCAACCCCACTGACCGCTGACCCCTGGCTGTATCCAAGCCCCTGCTGACCACTGACCATTCCCTTGGCCGTGTCCGGCCGCGCTGACCGCTGCCCTCCAGCCGCACTGACCACTGCCCTCCGGCCACACTGACCGCTGCCCTCTGGTCTCACTGACCGCTGCCCTCCGGCCGCACTGACCGCTGCCCTCTGGTCTCACTGACCGCTGCCCTCCGGTCTCACTGACCGCTGCCCTCCGGCCGCACTGACCGCTGCCCTCTGGTCTCACTGACCGCTGCCCTCTGGTCTCACTGACCGCTGCCCTCCGGCCGCACTGACCGCTGCCCTCCGGTCTCACTGACCGCTGCCCTCCGGCCGCACTGACCGCTGACCACTGACCGCTGCCCTCCAGCCGCACTGACCGCTGCCCTCCGGCCGCGCTGACCGCTGACCTTTGACCCCCAGGAGGCGGATGTTCACGTCCGGCCGCGGGGCCCGGCCGGACGCCCGGCGCATCCTGGTCGTGGTGACCGACGGCGAGAAGTTCGATGACCCCCTGGACTACCCAGCGGTCATCCCCGAGGCCGACGCCATGGGGGTCACTCGCTACGCCATCGGGGTCAGTGCGGCCGGCGGCCGGCCGTGCGTCCGTGTCCAGCTGTCCATCCATCCATGTCCATCTGTGTCCGGCTGTGCGTCCGTGTCCGGCGGTGCGTCCGTGTCCGGCTGTCCGTCCGTGTCCGGCTGTGCGTCCGTGTCCGGCTGTGCGTCCATCCATGTCCGTCCGTGTCCAGCTGTCCGTCCGTGTCCGGCTGTGCGTCCGTGTCCGGCTGTGCGTCCGTGTCCGGCTGTGCGTCCATCCATGTCCGTCCGTGTCCAGCTGTCCGTCCGTGTCCGTCCGTGTCCAGCTGTCCGTCCATGTCCTGCTGTCCGTCCGTGTCCGGCTGTCCGTCCATGTCCTGCTGTCCGTCCGTGTCCAGCTGTCCATCCGTGTCCGGCTGTGCGTCCGTGTCCGGCTGTCCGTCCGTGTCCGGCTGTGCGTCCGTGTCCGGCTGTGCGTCCGTGTCCGGCTGTGCGTCCATCCATGTCCGTCCGTGTCCAGCTCTCCGTCCGTGTCCAGCTGTCCGTCCGTGTCCAGCTGTCCATCCATCCATGTCCATCCGTGTCCGTCCATGTCCAGCTGTCCGTCCGTGTCCAGCTGTCCGTCCATCCATGTCCATCCGTGTCCGTCCATGTCCAGCTGTCCGTCCATGTCCAGCTGTCTGTCCGTGTCCAGCTGTCCGTCCATCCATGTCCATCCATGTCCATCTGTGTCCGGCTGTCCGTCTGTGTCCAGCTGTCCGTCCATGTCCAGCTGTCCGTCCATGTCCAGCTGTCCGTCCGTGTCCGGCTGTCCATCCATGTCCAGCTGTCCATCCATCCATGTCCATCCATGTCCATCCGTGTCCAGCTGTCCGTCCGTGTCCAGCTGTCCATCTGTGTCCAGCTGTCCATCCATCTATGTCCATCCATGTCCATCCATGTCCAGCTGTCCATCTGTGTCCAGCTGTCCATCCATCTATGTCCATCCATGTCCATCCATGTCCATCCATGTCCGTCCATGTCCATCCATGTCCATCCATGTCCACCTGTCCATCTATGTCCATCCCACCTGTCCATCCACGTCCATCCATGTCCACCTGTCCACGTCCATCCATCTCCATCCCACCTGTCCCTGTCCACCTGTTCCATCTCACCTGTCCGTCCGCCCCCACCTGTCCATCCGTGCCCGTGCCCACCTCACCCATCCCCACCTCACCTGCGCAGGTGGGCGGCGCGTTCGAGAAGCCCGACGCGTACCTGGAGCTGCAGGCGATCGCGTCCAGCCCCGCCCGGGATCACCTGTTCCGCGTGGACAACTTCTCTGCGCTGGCCGGGATCCAGAGCCAGCTCCAGGAGAAGATCTTCGCCATCGAGGGTACCTGGGCACACCTGGGATACACCTGGGGGTACCTGGGGGCGCCTGGGATACACCTGGGATACACCTGGGATACACCTGGGGGCACCTGGGATACACCTGGGGGCGCCTGGGATACACCTGGGGGCACCTGGGATACACCTGGGATACACCTGGGGGCACCTGGGATACACCTGGGGGCGCCTGGGCACACCTGGGATACACCTGGGGGCACCTGGGGGTACCTGGGATACACCTGGGATACACCTGGGGGCACCTGGGGGTACCTGGGATACACCTGGGGGCAGCTATGACACACTTGAGATACACCTGAGATACACCTGGGATACACCTGGGGCACACCTGGGGTACACCTGGGGATACCTGGGATACAGCTGGGCACACCTGAGATACACCTGGGAGCAGCTGGGCACACCTGGGCACACCTGGGGATACACCTGGGATACACCTGGGCACACCTGGGCACACCTGGGATACACCTGGGCACACCTGGGCACACCTGGGCACACCTGGGGGCACCTGGGATACACCTGGGCACACCTGGGCACACCTGGGATACACCTGGGGGCACACCTGGGCACACCTGTGCACACCTGGGATACACCTGGGCACACCTGGGCACACCTGGGCACACCTGGGATACAGCTGGGCACACCTGGGCACACCTGGGCACACCTGGGCACACCTGGGCACTCACCTGTCTCACCTGTGTCACCTGGCCAGGCACACACCCGTCCAACAGCTCGTCCTTCCAGCTGGAGATGGCGCAGGCCGGGATGAGCGTGGCCATGAGCCCGGTGAGTGACCACTGACCAACTGACCACTGAGTGAGTGAGCACTGAGTGACCACTGAGTGACCAACTGACCACTGAGTGACCACTGACCAACTGACCACTGAGTGAGTGACCACTGAGTGACCACTGAGTGACCAACTGACCACTGAGTGAGTGACCACTGAGTGACCACTGAGTGACCACTGACCAACTGACCACTGAGTGAGTGAGCACTGAGTGACCACTGAGTGACCACTGAGTGACCACTGACCAACTGACCACTGAGTGAGTGACCACTGAGTGACCACTGACCAACTGACCACTGAGTGAGTGACCACTGAGTGACCAACTGACCACTGAGTGAGCACTGAGTGACCACTGAGTGAGTGACCACTGAGTGACCACTGAGTGACCAACTGACCACTGAGTGACCACTGAGTGACCACTGAGTGACCACTGAGTGACCAACTGACCACTGAGTGACCACTGACCAACTGACCACTGAGTGAGTGACCACTGAGTGACCACTGAGTGACCACTGACCAACTGACCACTGAGTGAGTGACCACTGAGTGACCAACTGACCACTGAGTGACCACTGACCAACTGACCACTGAGTGAGTGACCACTGAGTGACCACTGACCAACTGACCACTGAGTGACCACTGAGTGACCAACTGACCACTGAGTGAGCACTGAGTGACCACTGAGTGAGTGACCACTGAGTGACCACTGAGTGACCAACTGACCACTGAGTGACCACTGACCAACTGACCACTGAGTGAGTGACCACTGAGTGACCACTGAGTGACCACTGACCAACTGACCACTGAGTGAGTGACCACTGAGTGACCAACTGACCACTGAGTGACCACTGACCAACTGACCACTGAGTGAGTGACCACTGAGTGACCACTGAGTGACCACTGACCAACTGACCACTGAGTGAGTGACCACTGAGTGACCACTGAGTGACCAACTGACCACTGAGTGACCACTGACCAACTGACCACTGAGTGACCACTGAGTGACCACTGAGTGACCACTGAGTGACCGCTGAGTGACCACTGACCAACTGACCACTGAGTGAGTGACCACTGAGTGACCACTGAGTGACCACTGAGTGACCACTGACCAACTGACCACTGAGTGAGTGACCACTGAGTGACCACTGAGTGACCACTGAGTGACCGCTGAGTGACCACTGACCAACTGACCACTGAGTGAGTGACCACTGAGTGACCACTGAGTGACCACTGAGTGACCACTGAGTGACCAACTGACCACTGAGTGACCACTGAGTGACCACTGAGTGACCACTGAGTGACCACTGACCACTGAGTGAGTGACCACTGAGTGACCACTGAGTGACCACTGAGTGACCAATGACCAACTGACCACTGAGTGACCACTGAGTGACCACTGACCAATGACCAACTGACCACTGAGTGACCACTGACCACTGAGTGACCACTGACCAACTGACCACTGAGTGAGTGACCACTGAGTGACCACTGAGTGACCACTGAGTGACCAATGACCAACTGACCACTGAGTGACCACTGAGTGACCACTGAGTGACCACTGAGTGACCACTGACCAACTGACCACTGAGTGACCACTGAGTGACCACTGACCAACTGACCACTGAGTGACCCCTGGCTGACCCCCGGCTGACCCCCGGCTGACCCCTGACCCCTCCCCAGGCCGGCCCCGTCCTGGGCGCCGTCGGAGCTTTTGATTGGTCGGGAGGAGCCTTCGTCTACAGCGGGGGCGGGGCCAAGCCCGAGTTCCTCAATGGCTCCGCCCCCAGCCCGGGCACACCTGGGGCACACCTGGAGGAGGCCAGGGACGCTTACCTGGGTAAGGGGAACACCTGGAGAAATTCAAAATTCACCTGAAAATGCCCAAATTCACCTGAAAAATCCCCAACATTTACCCCAAAAAATTCCCCAAATTCACCTGAAAATCCCCAAAAATTACCTGAAAACCCTCAAAATTTACCTGAAAATTCCCCCAAAATTCACCTGAAAATCCCCAAAAGTTTACCTGAAAATCCTCCCAAAAATTCACCTGAAAATCCCCAAATGTACCCCAAAAAAATCCCCAAAATTTCACCTGAAGATCCCCCCAAAAACTACCCGAAAATTCCCCAAATTTACCTGAAAATCCTCAAAAGTTTACCTGAAATGCCCCAAAAATTCACCTGAAAATCCCCCAAAAATTTACCTGAAAATCCTCAAAAAAATTCACCTGAAAATCCCCAAATTTACCCCCAAAAAATCCCCCAAAATTCACCTGAAAATCCCCCCAAAAATTACCTGAAAATCCCCCAATTTACCCCCAAAAATCCCCAAAATTTCACCTGAAAATCCCCCAAAATTCACCTGAAATGCCCCAAAATTTTACCTGAAAATCCCCAATTCCCAATTTACCCGAAGTATTGAAATTACACCTGAAACTTTCCAAAATTCACCCGAAAATCTCCCAGAATTTACCTGAAAAATCCCAAAATTCACCCGAAAAATTCCCAAAATTCACCCAAAAATCCCCAAATTTCACCTGAAACCCCCAAAATCCCCCCACGCCCCCCCCCAACCTCACCTGTGTGTGCCACCTGCGCAGGGTACGCGGCCGCGCCCCTGAGCCTGGGGCGCACCTGGGGCCTGGCCCTGGGCGCGCCCAGGTGGGGACACCTGGGACAGGTGACGGTGCTGGAGAAGGGACACACCTGGACAGTGCTGGGACACGCCACGGGGACACAGGTGAGGGTGGGACACACCTGGGGACACACCTGGGACAGGTGAGGGTGTGACACACCTGGGACAGGTGAGACAGGTGAGGGACACACCTGGGACAGGTGAGGGTGACACTCCTGGGACAGGTGAGACAGGTGAGGGTGGGACACACCTGGGACAGGTGAGAGGGACACACCTGGGACAGGTGAGAGGGACACACCTGGGACAGGTAAAGTCACACCTGGGACAGGTGAGACAGGTGAGGGTGGGACACACCTGGGACAGGTAAGGTCACACCTGGGCAGGGTCACCTGTCACACCTGGGACAGGTAAAGTCACACAAGGACCAGCGAGGTCACCTGGAAGGGATTCTCACCTGAGACAGGTGGGGACACCTGGGACAGGTGAGGGGGGACCTGGAGGGTCTCACCTGTCCCCCCTGTGTGTCTCACCTGGGGGTCTCACCTGTCCCACCTGTGTCACCTAGGATTGCTCACCTGGGATTTCTCACCTATCCCACCTGTGTGTCTCACCTGGGATTTCTCACCTGCCCCACCTGTGTGTCTCACCTGGGGGTCTCACCTGTCTCACCTGTGTCACCTAGGATTGCTCACCTGGGATTTCTCACCTGTCCCACCTGTGTGTCTCACCTGGGGGTCTCACCTGCCCCACCTGTGTGTCTCACCTGGGGGTCTCACCTGTCTCACCTGTGTGTCTCACCTGGGATTTCTCACCTGTCTCACCTGTGTCTCTCTCTCTCCCCAGGTGGGCTCCTATTTCGGGGCGTCCCTGCTGGCCCTGGAGCCGTGCCCAGGTGAGCCCCGCCCAGGTGAGCCCCGCCCAGGTGAGCCCCGCCCAGGCGAGCCCCGCCCCCGCCCAGGTGAGCCCCAGGTGCGGCTCCTGGTGGGGGCGCCCCTGTTCTACGGGGGGGGCAGCGGCGGCCGAGTGCACCTGTGCGAGATCCACGGACAGGTGAGACCGACACACCTGGGCAGGTGAACACACCTGGGGAGGGAGGGCACACCTGGGACACACCTGGGCAGGTGAACACACCTGGGGAGGGGGGGCACACCTGGGACACACCTGGGCAGGTGAACACACCTGGGGAGGGGGGACACACCTGGGACACACCTGGGCAGGTGAACACACCTGGGGAGGGGGGGCACACCTGGGACACACCTGGGCAGGTGAACACACCTGGGGAGGGGGGACACACCTGGGACACACCTGGGCAGGTGAACACACCTGGGGAGGGGGGGCACACCTGGGACACACCTGGGCAGGTAAACACACCTGGGGGGGACACACCTGGGACACACCTGGGACACACCTGGGGGGGACACACCTGGGGGCCTCAGCTGGCCCTCACCTGTGTCACCTGTGTCACCTGTCCCATCTGACCCCCACCTGTTGATCTCACCTGTCTCACCTGTCCCTCACCTGTGTGACCTCACCTGTCCCACCTGCCCCACTTTTCTCACCTGTCCCTCACCTGTTGATCTCAGCTGTCCCACCTGTCTCACACCTGCTCCATCTCACCTGTGTGGCCTCACCTTTCTCACCTGTGTCTCACCTGTCCCCACCTTTCCAATCTCACCTGTCCCACCTGTCCCACCTCACCTGGACTCACCTGTGAGACCCCGCCTGTGTGACCTCACCTGTCCGTGTCTCACCTGTCTCACCTGTCCAATCTCACCTGTCCAATCTCACCTGTCGCAGGTGCCCCGCCTGCGCTGTCCCCTGTATCTCACCTGTCTCACCTGTCCAATCTCACCTGTCCAATCTCACCTGTCCAATCTCACCTGTCGCAGGAGCCCCGCCTGCGCTGTCCCCTGTATCTCACCTGTCCAATCTCACCTGTCCAATCTCACCTGTCGCAGGAGCCCCGCCTGCGCTGTCCCCTGTCGCTCCGGGGCTCACCTGGGCACCCCCTCGGGCGCTTCGGGGCCAGCCTGGCCCAGCTGCCCCAGGTGGGCGGGGCCAGGTGCGCCCAGGTGGCCGTGGGGGCGCCCCTGGAGGACGAGGGGCGGGGAGCGGTGTACCTGTTCCAGAGCACACCTGGGGGCATCAGCGAGAACGGACAGGTGAGGGCACACCTGGGCACACCTGGGCACACCTGGGATACACCTGGGCACACCTGGGCACACCTGGGCACACCTGGGACACACCTGGGGATACCTGGGATACACCTGGGATACACCTGGGCACACCTGTGCACACCTGGGCACACCTGTGCACACCTGGGATACACCTGGGATACACCTGGGCACACCTGGGCACACCTGGGCACACCTGGGATACACCTGGGATACACCTGGGATACACCTGGGCACACCTGGGCACACCTGGGCACACCTGGGATACACCTGGGATACACCTGGGCACACCTGGGCACACCCGGGCACACCTGGGATACACCTGGGCACACCTGGGCACACCTGGGCACACCTGGGCACACCTGGGATTCACCTGGGATACACCTGGGATACACCTGGGCACACCTGGGCACACCTGGGATACACCTGGGCACACCTGGGCACACCTGGGCACACCTGGGATACACCTGGGCACACCTGGGGGCACCTGGGACAGGTGAGGGGACACCTGGGGTTACCTGTGTGACCTCACCTGTCTCTCTCACCTGTGTGACCTCACCTGTGCCTCACCTGTCCGTTCTCCCCCGTCCCAGCGCGTCGCCGGCTCCCGGTTCCCGTCCCAGCCCCGATTTTTCGGCCAATCGCTGAGCGGGGGGCGGGACCTGAGCGGGGATCACCTGCCCGACCTGGCCGTGGGGGCGCGGGGACAGGTGCTGCTGCTCAGGTGAGTGCAGGTGATCCAAAGTACCCAAAAATACCGAAAATAACCCAAAAATTCACCTGAAACACACCTGGGCCAGGTGCTGCTGCTCAGGTGAGTGCAGGTGATCCAAAGTACCCAAAAATACCGAAAATAACCCAAAAATTCACCTGAAACACACCTGGGCCAGGTGCTGCTGCTCAGGTGAGTGCAGGTGATCCAAAGTACCCAAAAATACCGAAAATAACCCAAAAATTCACCTGAAACACACCTGGGCCAGGTGCTGCTGCTCAGGTGAGTGCAGGTGATCCAAAGTACCCAAAAATACCGAAAATAACCCAAAAATTCACCTGAAACACACCTGGGCCAGGTGCTGCTGCTCAGGTGAGTGCAGGTGACCTAAAACTGCCCAAAATTACCCCAAATCCACCCAAAAATACCCCAAAACCACCCCAAACCTCACCTGGGGCAGGTGCTGCTGCTCAGGTGACCCCAATGACCCCGGGCGTGACCCCAGGCATGACCCCAGGCGTGACCTTTGACCCCCAGGTCGCCGCCGCTGCTGCAGGTGCGGCTCCGCGTGACCTTTGACCCCCAGGTGATCCCGGCCCGGGAGTGCCCGGAGGGGGCGGAGCTTCGGGAGCCGCTGGGCGTGGCCCGGGTGTGCTTCCGGGTCACCCGGGAAACCGGGGACGGCCTGGGTGAGAGCGAGCCCCGAAACCCCCAAAACTCACCCCAAAATCCGCCTGAACCCCAAAACCCCACACCTGAACCCCCAAAATTCACCTGGACCCCAAAACCCCACACCTGAACCCCCAAAACTCACCTGGACCCCAAAACCCCACACCTGAACCCCCAAAATTCACCTGGACCCCAAAATCCCAAAATCCACCTGAACCCCAAAACCCCACACCTGAACCCCAAAATTCACCTGGACCCCAAAATCCACCCCAAAAATTCACCTGAACCCAAAATCCTCACCTGAACCTCACCTGAACCCCCAAAATTCACCTGGACCCCAAAATCCCCAAAACTCACCCCAAAATCCGCCTGAACCCAAAACCCCACACCTGAACCCCCAAAATTCACCTGGACCCCAAAATCCCCAAAATTCACCCCAAAATCCGCCTGAACCCCAAAACCCCACACCTGAACCCCCAAAATTCACCTGGACCCCAAAATCCCCAAAATTCACCCCAAAAATTCACCTGAATCCAAAATCCTCACCTGAACCTCACCTGACCCCCAAAATTCACCTGGACCCCAAATCCCCAAAATTCACCCCAAAAATTCACCTGAACCCCAAAATCCCCCAAAATTCACCCCAAAATCCGCCTGAACCCCAAAACCCCACACCTGAACCCCCAAAACTCACCTGGACCCCAAAATCCCCAAATTTCACCCCAAAAATTCACCTGAACCCCAAAATCCCCAAAATTCACCCCAAAATCCGCCTGAACCCCAAAACCCCACACCTGAACCCCCAAAACTCACCTGGGACCCCAAAATCCCCAAAATTCACCCCAAAAATTCACCTGAATCCAAAATCCTCACCTGAACCTCACCTGAACCCCCAAAACTTCACGTGGACCCCAAAATCCACCCCAAATTTACACCTGACCCCCACCTGAAATCACCTGAACCCCCAAACCCCGCCCCAGACCTCACCCGAACCCCCAAATCCGCACCTGGAAAACCCAAAATCCCCAAAATTGCCAAAAAATTCCCCCAAATCCCCCCCGAAATTCCAAAAAAACCCTGAATTTCTCCCCAAATCCCCAATTTTCCCGATTTTTCACCAAATCTTCGCAAATCACCCCAGATTTCCTGATTTTCCCCCCAGAATCCTCCAAATTTCCCCCAAATTCCCCCAAAATCTCCTCAAATTTCTAAATTTCCCCCCAAGTTCCTCCCAAATTTTCCCCAAATCTGTCCCAAATCTTCCCCAATTTTTCCCAATATTCCCCCCCAAAAACCCAACTTTTCCCCCAATTTCCCCAAAATTCCCCCCACAAAACCCCAAGAAATCCCAATTTTCACCCCAAATTTCCCCCAAAGTCCCCATTTTTCCCCCCAAATCCCCCCAATTTCACCCAATTTTTCCCAATATTTTCCCCAAAACTCCCCAATTTTTCACCCGTTTTTTTTCTCCTAACGTCCCCATATTTTTTCACCCAAAATCGCCGTTTTTTCCGCCCAATTTTCACCCGATTTCCCCAAATTTTCACCCCGAGAACCCAATTTTCCCGTTTTTCTCCCAAATTCCCGGGTTTTCGCCCCAAAGGCGCCGTCTCGGCCTCGCTGTGGTTCCGGGCCGAGCTGGACCCCCCGGCCGCGCTCGGGTCCGCGCCGATTTTGGGGCCGAAAACGCCAAAAACGGGAGCCTGAGGGTGGGGGAGGGGCGGCAGCGCTGCGAGAGCCTCCAGATCTTCTACAAGGTGGGAAATTGGGGCGAAATCCGGGGATTTGGGGAAAAGCGGGATTTTGGGGGAAATTCCGGGGATTTGGGGAAAAAAATTGGGGAAATTTGGGGAAATTCCGGGATTTGGGGAAAAAAATTGGGGAAATTTGGGGTGAAAATTGGCGAAAAAATGGGAAATTTTTAGGGGGGAAAAAATTGGGGAATTTTGGGAGAGTTTGGGGGAAAATCGGGGAGGGAAAATTGCGGAAATTTGGGGGAAAAAATTGGGAAGAAAATTTGGGGAAAATTCCGTGAAAATTTGGGGATTTTGGGGGAAAATTTGGGATTAAAGGTTAAAGGGGAAATTTGGGCTGATTTGGGGCAAAATTATGGGAAAATTTGGGGAATTTTGGGAGAGTTTGAGGAAAATTGGGGAAATTTTGGGGGCAAAAAATTGGGGGACTTTTAGGGGAAAATTTGGATGATTCGGGGGACTTTTAGTAAAAAATGGGGGGGATTTAGGGAGAAAAATTGGGGAAGGAAATTTGGGATTTTGGGGGGATTTGGGGGGGGAATTTTGGGGAAAAATTGGGGGAAATTTGGGGACGATTTTGGGGAGAATTTGGGGGATATTTGGGGGGAAGTTTGGGCGGATTTTGGTAAAAATGTTGGGGAATTTTGGGGGAAAATTGGGGAGAATTTGGGGAGGGGAAATTGGGGGATTTTGGGGAGATTTGGGGGGAATTTTAGGGGGAAATTTGGGGATTTTTGGGGAGAATTTTGGGAGGATTTTGGGAGAAGAAATGGGGAGACTTTGGGGAAAATCTTGTGGGGATTCTGGGGAAAATTTGGGAGAACTTAGGGGGATTTTGGGGGGAAAATTGGGGCGAATTTGGGGACGAATTTGGGGGGAAAATTGGGGCGAGATTTGGGGGGAAAAAAAAAAGTCAATTTTGGGTGGAAAACTGGGGATTTTTTGGGTCATTTTTTTTTGTTTGTTTTGGGCTCCCAATTTGGGATTTTTTTCACTTTAAATTTGGCTTGTTTTGGTCATTTCGGGGCGCCCAGGGGTGCCCCCAGGACACGCTGACCCCGCTGACCCTCAGGGTGACCCTGGCGGCCGCGGGACCCCCTGGAGGCGGCCGGGGGCTCCGCCACAGCTCGGACCCGGCTCGGACACCGCGCTCACCGCCACGGTCAGGAATAATGGGGGAAAATCCGGGGATTTGGGGAAACTGGGGAAAATTGGGGGAAATTGGGGGGAAATTGGGGAAAAATTGGGGAAAAAATGGGGGAAATTTGGGGTTTTTGGGGGGGCTCCGGCCACAGCTCGGACCCGGCTCGGACACCGCGGTCACCGCCACGGTCAGGAATGGGGGAAAATCCGGGGATTTGGGGAAAATTGGGGGAAAACTGGGGGAAATTGGGGGAAAATTGGGGAAAAATTGGGGAAAAATTGGGGGAAAATTGGGGGAAATTGGGGGGAAATTGGGGGAAATTGGGGAAAAATTGGGGGAAAATTGGGGTTTTTGGGGGGCTCCGGCCACAGCTCGGCCACAGCTCGGACACGGCGGTGACCGCCACGGTCAGGAATGGGGGAAATTGGGGAAATTTGGGGGGAAACTGGGGGGTTTGGGAGGGTTTGGGAGGTGCTTGTGGTGGTGGGGGAGGAAAATGTAAAAATATCAGAAAAAAGGGCCTAAATAGGGAAAAATAGCCCCAAAATAGCCCAAAAATGCCCTAAAATAGCCCCCCAAAATAAGTCCAAATTTAGCCCAAAAATGCCCTAAAATAGGCCCCCAAAATGATCCCAAAAGAGCCAAAAATATTCCCAAAATAATGAAAAGTAGCCCCCCACAAATATCCCTAAAATAGCTCCCCAAAATAGCTCCCAAAAATATCCCCAAAATAGCCCCAAAATATCCTCAAAATAGCCCCCCAAAATAGCTCCAAAATAGTGACAAATAGCCCCAAAAATAGCAGCCAAAAAGTCCCAAAACAGCCCCCAAAAATAGCTCCCAAAATTAGCCCAAAATAGTGAAAATAAACCCCCAAAATCCCACAAAATAGTCCCAAAATACTCCCAAAAGTACCCCCAAAATAATGGAAAATATCCCAAAAAATAGTGGAAAATACCCCAAAAATAACCAAAAAGCCTCCCCAAAACCCAAAAAATAGCCCCCAAAATACCCCCAAAAAATCTACACAAAACCCCAGAAAAGTCCCAAAAAATCCCCAAAAATATCCCCCAAAATCACAAAAAAATTCCAAAAAAAACCCAAAAATCCCCCAAAATCCAAAACACCCCAAAAAATCCCCAAAACCCCAAACTGCCGCCGATTTGCCCCAAATGCCGCAGCTGCCGTTCGAGCACGACTGCGGCGCCGACAACGCCTGCCAGGACCTGCTGGAGCTGGAGCTCAACTTCTCGGGTGAGGAAATTTGGGGGGAAATTGGGGAAAAACGGGGAAAATTGGGAAGAAATTTGGGAAAAATTTGGGGGAAATTTGGGGAAAATTGGGGAAAATTTGGGGAAAATGGGGAAAATTGGGGGATTTTTTGGGAGTTTTAAGGGTTTTATTTGGATTTTTGTGGGGGATTTTGGGATTTTTTTATTTGTTTTTGGGAGACTTTGAGGGGATTTGGGGAAAATTTGGGGGAAATTTGGAAAAAATGGGGGGAAATATGGGGAAAAAAAATTGAGAAAATTTGGGGGAAATTTGGGAAAAAATTGGCAAAAAATGGGGGGAAAATGGGACATTTGGGGAAAAATTGGGAGAAAATTGGGGAAGTTTTAAGAGAAAAATTGGGAAAAATTTTTGGGAAAATTTGGGGAAAAAATTGGGAAAAATGGGGGATTTTTAAAGGATTTTTGGTGGATTCTTTGGGGTATTTTGGGGGAAATTTTCTGGGTATTTTTTGGGTATTTTGGGGCAGATTTTATGGCTTCTTTTATCATTTTGGGGGTATTTTTTAAATTTTATTTTTAAATTTTTGGTATCTTGGGGGTATTTGGGGGGGGGATTTTATTGTTGATTTTGGGGGTTTGTGGGGTGGCATTTTTTTGCGTATTTTATGGGGTTTTTTTTCGTATCTTTGGGAACTTCTGTGGTTTTTTAAAAATATTTATTTCGTAATTTTGGGGGGTTTTTTGTGGGGTTTTTTTTTCGGATTTTTTTTGCTGAGTCGTCTCTCCCGCCCCTCCCCCCCCTCTGTGCCCCTCCCCCCGCAGGCCGGGGGTGCTGGTGGTGGGGGAGGGGGACGCGCTGGAGCTGACGGTTACGGTGACCAATCGGGGCGAGAGCTCCTTCGGGCCGGGGGTCACCCTGTGGCACCCGCCCCAGCTCAGCTACAGGAAGGTGCAGATGCTCCAGGTAACCCCAAAAACACCCCAAAAATATCCCAGAAATACCCCTAAAATACCCCAAAAATATCCCCAAAACACCCCTGAAATACCCAAAAAATATCCCAAAAATACCCCAAAATGTCCCCAGAAATACCCCTGACATACCCCAAAAACACCCCAAAAACACCCCTGAAATACCCAAAAAATATCCCCAAAAATACCCCAAAATGTCCCCAGAAATAGCCCAAAAAATCGTCCCAAAATACCCTAAAAATACCCAAATTACCCCAAAAAATACCCCAAAATTACCCCAAAATTACCTCTGTGGCACCCGCCCCAGCTCAGCTACAGAAGGTGCAGATGCTCCCGGTAACCCCAAAAACACCCCAAAAATATCCCAGAAATACCCCTAAAATACCCCAAAAATATCCCCAAACCCCGTCCCAAAATACCCCCAAAATACCCCAAAAATACTCCAAAACCACCCTCAAAAAACCCGTCCCAAAATACACTAAAAAATCCCCAAAATCCTATCCCAAAACACCCCAAAAATATCCCTGAAATACCCCAAAAATACCCCCAAAATACCCCCCTGAAACCCTGAAAACCCCGTCCCAAAATATCCCAAAATAGCCTTAAATTATCCCAGAAATACCCCAAAAACCCTGTCCCAAAATACCCCCAAAATATCCCAAAAATACCCTCAAAAACCCCATCCCAAAATATCCCAAAACACCCTTAAAATACCCCAAAAACACCCCAAAAACACCCCAAAAACCCTGTCCCAAAACACCCCAAAAATACTCCGAAAAAGACCCACAAACCCCATCCCAAAATACCCCAAAATAACCGAAAAGCCCCATCCCAAAATATCCCAAAACACCCTTAAAATACCCCAAAAATACCCCAAAAATACCCCAAAACCCTGCCCCAAAATACCCCCAAAATACCCCCAAAATACCCCAAAAACACCCCCAAAACCCTGCCCCAAAATGCCCAGAAAGGCCCCAAAACCCCATCCCTGAACACCCCAAAAATCCCATCCAAAATTCCCCCGCGTCCCCCAAAAATCCGGCCCCGGAAAAGCCCCAAACCGCCCTAAAACGCCCCAAAACCCCACCCGGTTTATCCCGGTTTATCCCGGTTTATCCCGGTTTATCCCGGTTTATCCCGGTTCGTCCCGGTTCGTCCCGGTTTATCCGGTTTATCCTGGTTTATCCCGGTTTATCCCGGTTCGTCCCGGTTTATCCCGGTTTATCCCAGTTTATCCCGGTTTGTCCCGGTTCGTCCCGGTTTTATCCCGGTTTATCCGGTTCGTCCCGGTTTGTCCCGGTTCATCCCGGTTTATCCCGGTTTATCCCGTTTATCCCGGTTTATCCCGGTTCGTCCCGGTTTATCCCGGTTTTATCCGGTTTATCCGGTTCGTCCCGGTTTATCCCGGTTATCCCGGTTTATCCCGGTTCGTCCCGGTTCGTCCCGGTTTATCCCGGTTTATCCCGGTTTATCCCGCTTTATCCCGGTTTATCCCCGGTTTATCCCGGTTTATCCCGGGGTTTTCGTCCCGGTTTATCCCGGTTATCCCGGTTTTATCCCGGTTTATCCCGGTTCGTCCCGGTTCGTCCCGGTTTATCCCGGTTTATCCGGTTTATCCCGCTTTATCCCGGTTCGTCCCGGTTTATCCCGGTTTATCCCGGTTTATCCCGGTTCGTCCCGGTTTATCCCGGTTTGTCCCGGTTTGTCCCGGTTTGTCCCGGTTTATCCCGGTTCGTCCCGGTTCGTCCCGGTTTATCCCGGTTTGTCCCGGTTCGTCCCGGTTTATCCCGGTTTATCCCGGTTTATCCCGGTTTGTCCCGGTTCGTCCCGGTTTGTCCCGGTTTATCCCGGTTCGTCCCGGTTCGTCCCGGTTTATCCCGGTTCGTCCCGGTTTATCCCGGTTTGTCCCGGTTTATCCCGGTTCGTCCCGGTTTATCCAGTTTGTCCCGGTTTATCCCGGTTCGTCCGGTTTATCCCGGTTTATCCCGGTTTTATCCCGGTTCGTCCCGGTTCGTCCCGGTTTATCCCGGTTCGTCCCGGTTTATCCCGGTTTAAACCCTTTCCGTGCCAGCCCCGCGGTTCCGTTCGCTGCCACTCGGAGCCCCCCGAGGGGCGGGGCCGGCGCTCGCTGTGCCAGGTGCAGCCCCCGGTGCTGAGGGCGGGGGCACAGGTGAGTGAGTGACGTCATCATTGTCACCTGTGTGACGTCATCATTGTCACCTGTGTGACGTCATCATTGTCACCTGTGTGACGTCATCATTGTCACCTGTGTGACGTCATCACTGTGTGTGTCACACCTGTGTGACGTCATCAGTGTCACCTGTGTGACGTCATCATTGTCACCTGTGTGGCGTCATCGCTGTGTGTGTCACACCTGTGCCATCATTGTGTTACCTGTGTCACACCTGTGTGTGTCACACCTGTGCCAGGCTGTGTGCCAGGTGCAGCCCCCGGTGCTGAGGGCGGGGGCACAGGTGAGTGACGTCATCATTGTCACCTGTGTGACGTCATCGCTGTGTGTGTCACACCTGTGTGACGTCATCATTGTCACCTGTGTGACGTCATCGGTGTGTGTGTCACACCTGTGTGACGTCATCATTGTCACCTGTGTGACGTCATCGGTCTGTGTGTGTCACACCTGTGCCATCATTGTGTTACCTGTGTCACACCTGTGTGTGTCACACCTGTGCCAGGCTGTGCCAGGTGCAGCCCCCGGTGCTCCGGGCGGGGGCACAGGTGAGTGACGTCATCATTGTCACCTGTGTGACGTCATCGGTGTGTGTGTCACACCTGTGCCATCACTGTGTTACCTGTGTCACAGCCTGTGTGTGTCACACCTGTGCCAGGCTGTGCCAGGTGCAGCCCCCGTGATCAGACACCTGTGTTACCGGTTTGTCCCTCACCTGTCCCCTCTCACCTGTCCGTCCCCTGTCCCTCCCGTCCCTCACCTGTCCCTCCCCTGTCCCCTCTCACCTGTCCCTCCCGTCCCTCACCTGTCCCCTCTCACCTGTCCCACCTGTCCCTCACCTGTCCTCCCCTGTCCCTCACCTGTCCCTCCCCTGTCCCTCACCTGTCCCCTCTCACCTGTCCGTCCCCTGTCCCTCCCGTCCCTCACCTGTCCCTCCCCTGTCCCTCACCTGTCCCCAGGTGAGTTTCCGGCTGACCCTGGACGTGCCCCCGGACGCCGAACTCGGGGAGACGCTGCAGGTGACGGCGCAGAGCCACAGGTGAGACGGGGGGACAGGTGAGGGACAGGTGGGACATGGACAGGTGAGGGACAGGTGGGACATGGACAGGTGAGGGACAGGTGGGACATGGACAGGTGGGACAGGTGAGACAGGTGGGACAGGTGAGGGGACAGGTGGGACATGGACAGGTGAAGGGGACAGGTGGGACATGGACAGGTGGGACAGGTGAGATGGGACAGGTGAGGGGACAGGTGGGACATGGACAGGTGAGGGACAGGTGGGACATGGACAGGTGAGGGACAGGTGGGGACAGGTGAGATGGGACAGGTGAGGGGACAGGTGGGACATGGACAGGTGAGGGACAGGTGGGACATGGACAGGTGAGGGACAGGTGGGACAGGTGAGATGGGACAGGTGAGGGGACAGGTGGGACATGGACAGGTGAGGGACAGGTGGGACATGGACAGGTGAGGGACAGGTGGGACATGGACAGGTGAGGGACAGGTGAGGGACAGGTGGGACATGGACAGGTGAGGGACAGGTGGGACAGGTGAGACACAGACAGGCGAGGGGCGTACATGTGGGACAGGCGAGGGGGGACAGGTGAGGGACAGGTGAGGGACAGGTGGGACAGGTGGGACAGGTGGGACAGGTGGGACAGGTGGGACAAGTGAGGTCGCACAAGTGGGACAGGTGGACAGGTAAGAGACAGGTGGGACAGGTGAGAACAGGTGAGACAGGTGAGGGGGGACAGGTGGGACAGGTGGGACAGGTGGGACAGGTGAGACAGGTGGGACAGGTGGGACAGGTGAGACAGGTGGGACAGGTGGGACAAGTGAGGTCGCACAAGTGGGACAGGTGCGGGACAGGCAAGGGGACAGGTGAGCCCAGGTGACGTCACCCGGGTGGCCCCGCCCAGCTGACCCCGCCCCTCTCCCCTCAGCACCAATGGCGACGCGGGTGGGCGGAGCCAGAGCGCGACCATCCCGTCAGGTACCGGTGTTCCTGGTGATTGACAGGTGAGCCTGGGGGCCGGGTCAACCCGGGGTGTCGCACCTGCGTGACGTCACCTGGTGAGCGCCACACCTGTGTCGTGTCATCTGTGTCACACCTGCGTGACGTCACCTGTGTGACCTCACCCGTCCCACCTGTGTCTCACCTGTCCGGTCTCACCTGTGTGACGTCACCTGTCCCACCTGTGTCTCACCTGTCCGTGTCTCACCTGGTGTGACGTCACCTGTCCCACCTGTGTCTCACCTGTCCGTGTCTCACCTGTGTGACGTCACCTGTCCCTCACCTGTCCCTCACCTGTCCGTGTCTCACCTGTGTGACCTCACCCATCCCTCACCTGTCCCTCACCTGTCCGTGTCTCACCTGTGTGACCTCACCTGTGTCTCACCTGTCCGTGTCTCACCTGTGTGACGTCACCTGTCCCACCTGTGTCTCACCTGTCCGTGGTCTCACCTGTGTGACGTCACCTGTCCCTCACCTGTCCCTCACCTGTCCGTGTCTCACCTGTGTGACCTCACCCGTCCCACCTGTCCCTCACCTGTCCGTGTCTCACCTGTGTGACGTCACCCGTCCCACCTGTCCCTCACCTGTCCGTGTCTCACCTGTGTGACGTCACCTGTCCCTCACCTGTCCCTCACCTGTCCGTGTCTCACCTGTGTGACCTCTACCCGTCCCACCTGTCCCTCACCTGTCCGTGTCTCACCTGTGTGACGTCACCCGTCCCACCTGTGTCTCACCTGTCCGTGTCTCACCTGTGTGACGTCACCTGTCCCTCACCTGTCCTCACCTGTCCGTGTCTCACCTGTGTGACGTCACCTGTCCCTCACCTGTCCCTCACCTGTCCGTGTCTCACCTGTGTGACGTCACCTGTCCCTCACCTGTCCCTCACCTGTCCGTGTCTCACCTGTGTGACGTCACCTGTCCCTCACCTGTCCGTGTCTCACCTGTGTGACGTCACCTGTCCCTCACCTGTCCCTCACCTGTCCGGCAGCGCCGCCGACTCCTTCGCGTTACCTGAACGTCAGCACCGGGGGGGCCCCTCCCCGCCCCGCCCCCGTCAGCCACCGCTACCAGGTGAGCGCACCCGGGTGACGTCATCGCCGCGACGACGTCGTCCCCGTGACGTCACCAGCCGCGACGTCACCCGTGCCGCTCCCCCCCCCCCCCCCCCCCGCGCAGGTGAAGGTGCTGGGGCGCCGCCCCCTCCCGGCCGGACGTCACCTTCCGGGTCCCGGCACACCTGGGCCAGGTGCGGCTCTGGGAGAGCCTGGCCGTCACACCTGAGCAGGTAACGGCACCAAAGGGACTGAAATCGCCCAAAATCGCCCAAAATGGCCCAAAAATGGCCCAAAAATGGCCCAAAAATCGCCCAAAAATCACCCAAAAATCACCCAAAAATCACCCAAAAATGGAGCCAAAATGGACCCAAAATTGCCCAAAAATGGAGCCAAAATGACCCAAAAATGGAGCCAAAATGGATCCAAAATGGACCCAAAAATGGAGCCAAAAATGGAGCCAAAAATCACCCAGAAAAGGACCCAAAATCGCTGAAAATGGACCCAAAATGGACTGAAAAACACCACAGAAAATGACCCAAAATCACCGAAAATGGCCCCAAAAATGGCACCAAAATGGACCCAAAAATGCCCCAAAAAATGGACCCAAAATCACCCAAAATTTGGCCCAAAAATGGACCCAAAATGGACCCAAAACAGCTCCAAAAATGACCTAAAATCCCCAAAAGTTGACCGCCAAAAATCCCCCAAAAATGGACCGGAAAATGCACCCAAAATCACGGAAAATGCACCCCCAAATGGACACAAATTGACCCTAAAATGGCCCTAAAAATGTCCCCAAATCCATAAAATTGTCCCAAAAAATGTCCCAAAAATCCTCGAGAATGGTCCCAAAAATGGCCCCAAAAATATCCCAAACACGGCCCCAAAATGTCCAAAAATCGCCTAAAATTGCCCCAAAAAACCGAAATAAGGCTTCGAAATGTCCCCAAAATTGCTCAAAAAATGGCCCCAAAATGGCCCCAAAATCCCTCTAAATGACCCCAAAAACGCCCCAAAGCCCCAAATTCCCGAGATGCCCCAAAATCCGCTGAATTTGCCCCAAATCCCGCCAGGAGCAGCCGCGGTGCCGGGAGGGCCCCGAGGAGCCGGGGGAGGGCCCCGAGCGCCCCCTGCTGGTGAGTGCGGGACGGGAAAACTCCCAAAAACCGGGGAAAATTGGGAAATTGAATGGGGCAAAAACCCGCCCAAAATGGGAAAATTGTTAAAACTGGGAAACTCCCCCAAAAATTGGGAAAATTCAAACAAAAAAATGGGGGAAATTTCCCAAAAATTGGGAAAATTCCCCCCAAAATTGTGATTATTTTTCCCCCCCCCCCCACGAAATGGGGAAAATTCCACTCAAAATTGGGATTTTTTTTTTTTTTCCTAAATTGGAAGAGTTCCCCCAAAATTTGAGATTTTTTTCCCCAAAAATTGGGAATTTTCCCAAAATTGAGGATTTCTTCCCCAAAACTGGGGGAAAATCACCTCCATTATTGGAAAATTCTGCCCAAAAATCCGGATTTTTTTTTTCCCAAAATCATGGGGAATTTCCCCCCAGATTTGGGATTCTTTTTACCAAAATTGGGGGGAATTTTCCCCAAATTTTGCACTTTTCTCCCCCGCAAATTTCAGAAGTTTTTTTTCCCAAATTGGGGATGAATCCCTTTAAGAATGGGATTTTTTTCCCCAAAAATTTGGACTTTTTTGTTCCCCGAAATTGGGAAAAATCCCTTAAAAATCAGGATTTTTTCCCCAAGATTTGGGGTTTTTCCTGCAAAATTGAGGAACTTCCTCCCAAAGCGGGCGGGAAAATCCTATTAAAAATTGCGTATTTTTCTCTCAAAATTGGGGATTTTTCCCCCAAATTGTGTCATGTTTTCCCCCCAAATTGTGTCATGTTTTCCCCTCAAATTGTGTCATGTTTTCCCCCCAAATTGTGTCATGTTTTCCCCCCAAATTGTGGGGGTTTTTTTCCCCAAAAAATTGGAATTTTCCCCAATATTTGAACTTTTTTCCCCAGAAAAAATGGGAATTTTCCCCCAAATTGTGATTTTTTCCCCAAACTGTGATTTTTCTCCCCAAACCGCGTTTCCGCCCCCAGCGGTGCCCGGGCGCCCCCTGCCGGACGTTCCTGTGCTCGCTGCCCCCCTGGAGCCGCCCCGCACCTGGGGGTTCCGCCTGGGGGGGGAAATGAACCTGGAGTGGGTGAGACAGGTAAGGGGGCACACCTGGGCACACCTGGGCACACCTGGGCACACCTGGGCACACCTGGATACCCAAAATGTACCCAAAATGTACCAAAATACACCCAAAATGTACCCAAAATGTAACCCAAACACACCTGGGGGCACCTGGGGGGGAAATGAACCTGGCCTGGGTGAGACAGGTGAGACTGGCACACCTGGGCACACCTGGCACACCCAAAATGTACCCAAAATGTACCCAAACACACCTGGGCACACCTGGGCACACCCAAAATGTACCCAAAATGTACCCAAAATACACCCAAACACACCTGGGGGTTCCGCCTGGGGGGGAAATGAACCTGGAGTGGGTGAGACAGGTAAGGGGGCACACCTGGGCACACCTGGATACCCAAATGTACCCAAAATGTACCCAAAATACCACCAAACACACCTGGGATACACCTGAGACACCCCAAAATACACCCAAACACACCTGGGGGTTCCGCCTGGGGGGGGAAAATGAACCTGGAGTGGGTGAGACAGGTAAGGGGGCACACCCAAAATGTACCCAAAATGTACCCAAAATGTACCCAAACACACCTGGGCACACCACCTGGATACCCAAAATGTACCCAAAATGTACCCAAAATGTACCCAAAATGTACCCAAAATACACCCAAACACAACCTGGGGGTTCCGCCTGGGGGGGAAATGAACCTGGAGTGGGTGAGACAGGTAAGGGGGCACACCTGGGCACACCTGGATACCCAAAATGTACCCAAAAAGTACCCAAAATACACCCAAACACACCTGGGATACACCTGAGACACCCAAATACACCCAAACACACCTGGGGGTTCCGCCTGGGGGGGGAAATGAACCTGGAGTGGGTACGGCAGGTAAGGGGGCACACCTGGGCACACCTGGGCACACCCAAAATGTACCCAAAATGTACCCAAATGTACCCAAACACACCTGGGGGTTCCGCCTGGGGGGGAAATGAACCTGGAGTGGGTGAGACAGGTAAGGGGGCACACCTGGGCACACCTGGGCACACCTGGATACCCAAAATATACCCAAACACACCTGGGCACCACCTGGGGGTACCTGTGCCCACCTGTGCCCACCTGTGCCCTCACCTGTGCCCTCACCTGTGCCCACCTGTGCCCACCTGTGCCCTCACCTGTGCCCACCTGTGCCCCCACCTGTGCCCTCACCTGTGCCCTCACCTGTGCCCACCTGTGCCCTCACCTGTGCCCTCACCTGTGCCCACCTGTGCCCACCCGTGCCCTCACCTATGCCCACCTGTGCCCTCACCTGTGCCCTCACCTGTGCCCACCTGTGCCCTCACCTGTGCCCTCACCTGTGCCCTCACCTGTGCCCTCACCTATGCCCACCTGTGCCCTCACCTGTGCCCTCACCTGTGGCCCACCTGTGCCCACCCGTGCCCTCACCTATGCCCCACCTGTGCCCTCACCTGTGCCCTCACCTGTGCCCACCCGTGCCCTCACCTGTGCCCACCTGCGCCCACCTGTGCCCTCACCTGTGCCCCCACCTGTGCCCTCACCTGTGCTCACCTGTGCCCCCACCTGTGCCCTCACCTGTGCCCTCACCTTGTGCCCACCCGTGCCCTCACCTGTGCCCACCTGCGCCCACCTGTGCCCTCACCTGTGCCCCCACCTGTGCCCTCACCTGTGCCCTCACCTGCGCCCACCTGTGCCCTCACCTGTGCCCACCTGTGCCCCCACCTGTGCCCACCTGTGCTCACCTGTGCCCACCCTGTGCCCTCACCGTGTGCCCACCTGTGCCCACCTGTGCCCTCACCTGTGCCCCACCTGTGCCCTCACCTGTGCCCTCACCTGTGCCCCACCTGTGCTCACCTGTGCCCACCTGTGCCCACCTGTGCCCTCACCTGTGCCCTCACCTGTGCCCCTCACCTGTGCCCACCTGTGCCCTCACCTGTGCCCTCACCTGTGCCCACCTGTGCCCACCTGTGCCCTCACCTGTGCCCTCACCTGTGCCCTCACCTATGCCCACCTGTGCCCTCACCTGTGCCCTCACCTGTGCCCACCTGTGCCCTCACCTGTGCCCCCACCTGTGCCCACCTGTGCCCACCTGTGCCCTCACCTGTGCCCCACCTGTGCCCCCACCTGTGCCCACCTGTGCCCACCTGTGCCCTCACCTGTGCCCTCACCTGTGCCCCCACCTGTGCCCCTCACCTGTGCCCACCTGTGCCACCTGTGCCCACCTGTGCCCCCACCTGTGCCCTCACCTGTGCCCACCTGTGCCCTCACCTGTGCCACCTGTGCCCACCTGTGCCCACCTGCGCAGATGCCCTGGCCAAGGCTCACCTGCAGAGCTCGGCCCGGGTGAGCTTCGACCAGAGAACGTTCCAGAACACCTGGGGGGGCACCGAGCTGCAGGTGAGGCGCTGGGGGGGTCAGACACACCTGGCACACCTGGCACACCCTGGCACCACACCTGGCACACACCCCTGGCACACCTGGCACACCCCTGGCACACCTGGCACACCTGGCACCCTGGCACACCCACCCCCGGGCCACACCTGGCACACCTGGCACACCGCACTGGGGGGGGTCAGACACACCGGGCACACCTGGCACACCTGGCACACCTGGCACACCTGGCACACCTGGCACACCGCACTGGGGGGGGTCAGACCACTACCCTGGCACAACCTGGCACA